ACAGCCTGGCTGGCCAGGCTGTTCTTCCAGGCAGGAAACTCAGGAGGTGTTTTTATTGGTTTAAGTATGTCTTCCCCCAGAGTGTCTTATAACTTACTGGTATATCTCAGGGCACCAGTGTAGAGCCCTTTCTCTGGCCTGAACCTCTCTGAAGCAGCTGTGCGTGGCTGCATGGGAGGGGGGTGCCCCCTCACCAGCCCCGCTTGTGCGAGCCCCGGCTCAGTTGCTGTTCTGGGTGAAATGTGACTATCTCTGGGAAAAAGTAATGGTTTTAAGGTAGGAAATTTGAAATGAAGGGGAGGAAAAGAAGACCTATCTGGGAAGAATCAGAACAGGCTACTGAGAGGCCATGGTGCAAGTCTGAAGATTGGAAATATCTCTCTCAATGTTATTACTGTGTGCCATTAAAAATGCATTATGCATATTACATGACTCATTATTCATGAAGCAGGTTCCATACCTTTTGTCTGCCAGAGTAACAGTAGAAAGGGTAAGGAGAGATGCTGGAGCACACCTTTGTTTCTTTCTGTAAATTTTTAATGACACCTCTAGCTAACCAGTTGGTGAAGCTCAGTTCCTGCATAAAAGTGGAAAGGCAGAGCTATCTGCAGGACGACTAAGCCTTTCAGAAGCTAATTTGAGCTTGTGTTCATCCACACCAACAATGATTAAATTACCTATCAAGTGCGCAGAGCTATCAGGATTCAGGGCATTGAAAAACAAGGTGAATTTATCTGATTGATTTAAAAGACATGGGTGGAACAAGTGAGTTTAAAAAAGGAAAAGTCTATTCCTTATAGATATTATAAAAGTATTTCTCTTGGCAAGCTAACAAACTTGTTACTTTGCCTCCATAAATTGTTTTGATTGCCCAGAAAACAAATTTATTAGTTGGAATCAAAATGCTTTATCCAAATCAGTTAGCAGGCTGAATTAATTCATGAGGCAGAAACAATGCAACTTATTAGGTTCCATCCTTATGCTGAGCAGCGATGTTTAAAATTAAAATATGCAAACATCATCTGTGTTTTCTGTACACTCAGTTTCCAAAAGCTGATAGTAACACTCAGATTGGATATTGCAACACAAAGGAGAGAGCAGCTCTTCTGGGTCTTGCTTCTTCCTCAAGCAAAACTTTTGTT